GTAAAAAGGATTCAATGACATTAACAGGGCTTTTTTTTTTTTTTTTTTTTTTTGAGACGGAGTCTCACTCTATCACCCAGGCTGGAGTGCAGTAGCATGATCTTGCGCTCACTGCAACCTCTGCCTCTCGGGTTCAAGGGATTCTCCTGCCTCAGTCTCCCGAAACAGGGCTTTTTCTCCCGTCCTTTCCCCTCCCCTTTCTCGCAAAGGATACACTCGTGCTATAGGGTAAGGCTGTGCTAGAAATTCTTAAAAGAGGTCCAGTCCCTTAAGGGTTTTCTAGAGAGGCAGAGGAGGAGGAGCAGGGGCGGCTGGCAGCTGCACAGGGCGGTGGTTCTTCCGAACGTCGCTGTCTGAGGGCATGTGCCCTAGACACAGCTGCGCCCCTTGTCCTGGGTTCCCTGTGTGGCATGCCCACACACTCACTGCCCCGGGAGGTCACAGTCCTGATCAAAATCCATGTACTCGTCCTCTTGCTGTACATTCCCAGGCCCACCTTGAGAGGTTTGTCATTGGCATCGAGGCTGGAACTTTAGTTTACACAGGCCTATCGAAGAGTTTGGACCAGGTGGCGGCTCCACTGGGTGGAGGGGAAAAGCCGGAATTATGCAGCGGGGGATTTGAAAGGCACGTGCATGCGGCTCAGGGCCTTTCCCGTGGGTGGTCTTAGGCCTTGTTCTTTTTGGAAATATACACCCCATCTTTGATCAACGTTAACTAAACATGGCTAACTCAACAAAGGAACCAGCAAAGACTCTCTGAGCTCAGGACACAGAAACCAGGCCAGGAACCGCAGTCCTTCTAAGCCAAATATCCATTCTGGAAGATTTCTTTTCGGCCGGGCACGGTGGCTCACACCCTGTAATCCAGCACTTTCGAGGGCCGAGGCAGGTGGATCACGTGAGGTCAGGAGGTTTGAGACCAGCCTGACCAACATGGAGAAACCCCATCTCTACTCAAAAATACAAAATTAGTTGGGCGTGGTGGCGCATGCCTATAATCCCAGCTACTTGGCGAGGGTTGAGGCAGGAGAATCACTTGAACCTGGGAGGTGGGAGGTTGTGGTGAGCTTTGCACCCAGCCTGGGCAACAGAACCAAACTCCATCTCAAAAAAAAGATTTCTTCTTTTTGAGAAGGTTCTGTCCCAGGTTCCAAGCCAACACACCTCGAGTCTATTCTTGCATATCCCTTCTTCTTGTGCTGCCTCTAACCTCTCCCTGTGTATCCTCTAGACCTTATGGTCAAAATAAAATACAGGCCACTTTTCCTCCTTCACCTAATTTTTGTTTTTTTGTTTTTTTTTTTGAGACAGATTCTCGCTCTGTCACCCAGGCTGGAATGCAGTGGAGTGATCTTGGCTCACTGCAACTCTGGCCTCTCAGGCTCAAGCAATTCTCATGCCGCGCAGCCTCCTGAGTAGCTGGGATTACAGGTGCGCGTGCCACCATGCCTGGTTTTTTTTTTGTATTTTTAGTAGAAATGGGGGTTTCACCATGTTGACCAGGCTGGTCTCAAACTCCCGACCTCCAAGTGAATCCGCCTGCCTGGGCCTCCCAAAGTGCTGGGATTACAGGTGTGGCCACTGAGGCCCGACTCTTTTCTCTTTTAGAAGAGCCTCCAGGAGGCACCTGTCCTTGCCTCTTGGACCTGAGATTTACGAGCTGATTGGAGGATGACCCAATGAAGAGGTGTGCTTTCGGAAACAGTGGTTTACTAGGCCTCTGGCATAATGACCCATTTTCTTAGGAGGGGAAAATGAGGTACAGAGAGGCAAATTAACTTCTCCAAAGCCAGGCCAAGTGCCAGAGCAGGATGTGAGATGAGTCCCACCATGTTTCCGCCATGACTGGGACCCCAGGAGAGTTCCGGTGCAAGGCCCCTTGGAGACGATCTAGCGTGGTCCAGGGGACACTGTTACCCCATCCTAGGGCAGTTCAGGATAGGAGGTCCGACCCGCCTGGGGCCTGCCATGAAATGTTGCGTAAACCCGTAATGCAGGAGGGGCCCCACCTACCCTCCACCGGCGCGTCATTGCCTTGGAGAGCGACAGAGGATGTCCAGGAGGTCAGCCGAGGAGACAAAATAGAACCTGGGGAAAGCCAGTCTCTTCGTCTCTAAATACTCTGACAAAGCTTTTTCACACATGGCCAAGCTGGGAGGAAGGAAGGAGAGGAGGCCGGTGACCTCACTCTGTAGGGATGTCTGCCGCCCGCCCTATCGGCGCAGGGAACTGGTCATCCTGGGGATGCCTGGATTGCTGTTCACAGGCCCGGTTTAATTCAGAACCTCCTACCAGAGGCTCTCATTTCTTTGCCATCCCCTGACCTTGTGGGCACTCCTAGGCAGGAGGGACCTCATTTATTCTCTGGGTCACTGCTTCCTTCAAGGCCAAGGCCACTGTGTGGCAGGATGAGGCCGTGGAGCGCGTGCTCCCCAGGGAAAGGGAATAGATTAACCCAGGACCCGTGGTTTTGCCCTGTGCTGGCCAGCGGGCTGCACAAGACTTAGGTTCCCTCAGACTTAAGACTCAGGGAATCAGCACCACTGACTCCCCTGGTCTGGACAGGTGTGAGCCCCACCTCTTCTTCAGGGCCTCCAGTTTATCGTAGAGGCCGGGTTTGCTGGTAGCTTCCACCACGTTGGGTGTTTTTACTGCATCTTCCATCAAGGCCTGGGAAGAGAAGGGGATCGCCAAGGCATTAGGGACCCCGTTTTGTCCAACACGGTCATTTCTGAAATGCGTGGGAGCCACCGGGCTGGGCTCACCTTGAACTCCTGGTCGATGTCATCAAAGCGCTGGGAGTCCTCCGGGAGCTGGGCGCGGATGTCTTCGGAGCCAATGAAGATACTCTCCAGGTGGCTCCAGGTTCGCTGGACCTCAAACCAGATGGAGATGACGGAGTCCGCCATGGACAGCTTCTGCTGCCAGCTCGTCACCTCCTTCAGGAAGTGGGCCAGGTACTTGGACGTCATCAGGTTCTGCAGCTGTACCTGGTTGTCCTCCAGCGTCTCCACCAGCACCTCGTTGGACTTGAGCATCATGGTGCCCGTCCGCGGGTGCGGCTCGTGCTCGAATTCCATCATGCTCCAGGTACTGTCCAGGGCTTTCAGCACCTTTTGGGGGAAGAGAAAAATAAGGTCACTGAGCATTTGGCCTGCAAAGCTCAGGCAGGACCCAGAGTTCCCAGGATGTAGACTGAAGCTTCATGATCAGAAAGCAAAAAGACTCAAACCAACATATTCACAGGAGCCAAAGGCAGATCCAACCCGAACCTTCGTACCCCGATGACGGATGAATGTGATGTCTGTCCACACAATGGAACATAAGCCACTAAAGGAATGAGGTACAGACACCTGCCACAACGCGGATAAACCTGAAGACCTTAGGCTGAAAGAAGCCACACGCACAGATCACATAGCACATGTGAAGGAGTTCAGAATGTGCCACCCCAAAATATGCCATCCTGCAATTGATGATTTCGAGTCAGAGGCACTTGAAGGGCAGCAGATGCAGGAATCTCTGAGCCCCATGCTGTTCCTGGGAAGCAGGAGATGCAATTCCCAGGTGAATGATGCTCTTCTGATACCAGAATGAAACGATCATTCTCATCACAAGGATGGGAAGTCGAGGCGGAAAGAATCCTGTCCGCTCAGAACTTGTTAGAATAGCTCTCGCCTTCCAGCCTGTCACACAGATTACTTTTCTACAACTTCCTCTTTCCGCAACTCAGTACTTAAAGTGTTCAACGCTAACTGCCTTAGAGTCAGGAAGTCTTCCTTTCCTCCCGTAAAACAGAAAACTTGGATTAAATAATTTGCATACTTTTCTCCTCTTGATCTGTCTTACGTCAATGGAATTCTCAGACCCAGCTGGGAAAAACTCTAAAAGCATAGAGTGAAAGTGCTGCCTCCTCTACCTATGATGCCGTTCCTATGAAAGTGTGGAAGAGGGGGATCTATATAGGGGGAAAGTGGATTAGTGGTTGCCTAGAGCTGGAGATGGGGACACATGAGAAGGAAGGGGTAGGGGATGATGGCTAAAGGATGTGAGTTTCTTTCTGAGGTGATGAAAATATTCTAAAGTTTGTTAATTCTATTTTTTATTTTTATTTTTAAAAAAATTATAATTTTTTTTAGGGACAGGGTCCAGCCCAGGCTGGAGTGCAGCAGCATGATCACAGCTCACTGCAGCCTCCATCTCCTGGGCTCAAGTAATCCTCCCACTTCAGCCTCCCAAGTAGCAGGTGTGTCACCACGTGCCCTGCTTTTTTTTTTTTTTTTTTTTTTGGAGATGGAGTCTCACTTTGTCACCCAGGCTGGAGTGCAGTGGCACAATCTTGGCTCACTACGGCTTCCACCTCCCAGGTTCAAGCGATTCTCCTGCCTCAGCCTCCCAAAGCGTTGGGATTACAGGCATGCGCCACCACGCCTGGCTAATTTTTGTATTTTTAGTAGAGACGGGGTTTCACCATGTTGGCCAGGCTGGTCTCAATCTCCTGACCTTGTGACCCGCCCACCTTGGCCTCCCAAAGTGTTGGAATTACAAGCGTGAGCCATCGCGCCCGGTCCCCAGCTAATTTTTTAAAGTTTTTTTGTAGAGATGGGGTCTGCCTCTGTTGCCCAGGCTGGCCTTGTCTTGAATTCCTGGACTCGAGCGATCCTCCTACCTCCCAAAGTGCTGGGATTATAGCCATGAGCCCCCACCCTCTGCTGTTTAAGTATGTGCTGATTACACACTTGTACCTCTGCTAAAAGCCATTGTACACTTTAAACAGGTGAATTGTATGGTATGTGAATTATACCTAATAAAGGTTTTTGTTTTGTTTTGTTTTGTTTTTTAAGCAAGCCAAAATGTGACAATTCAAACTCACAAAACAGGCTGAGGAGAGAGATTTGAACCGCAAAAGGAGTTTTCCTGGATACTGGAACTGCCGGTAGCCAGTGGCACATTACAAGTTCAGGTACCAGCTGGGGGCCATCCCCCACCCGTCCCCAACCCTCCCCTCAGCTCAGAGTCAGAGGAAAGAACTGACGTCCGTGGAGGAGTCAGACAGGACACAGACGAGGATGCTGGAGGCAAAGGAAATGAGAATTCTGGTTGTTTACAAAATGTCCCAAACTATTGCGTGTATGGGGCGGGCAGAGTTATAGCCAGGAATTGGGTTTCCTAAGAAAAATTCCAGAAGTAGGCTGGCACGGTGGCTCACGCCTGTAATCCCAGCACTTTGGGAGGCCAAGGTGAGCGGGTCAGTTGAGGTCAGGAACTCGAGACCAGCCTGGCCAACATGGTGAAACCCCGTCTCTACTAAAAGTATGAAAATTAGCTGGGCATGGTGGCGCATGCCTGTAGTCCCAGCTACTTGGGAGGCTGAGGCAGGAGAAATTGCTTGAATTCGGGAGGTGGAGGTTGTGGTGAGCCAAGATCGTGCCACTGCACTCCAGCCTGGGCAACAGAGAGACATTCTGTCTCAAAAACAATAAAAAATAATAAATAGATTCCAGAAGTATTTTTTAAGATTTGTCACAGGTTGGGTAAGAAAGGCCCCCCAGACTTCCCTTGAGTGCCATGGGGCCGCGGGACCCATATGAACGAGCTCTCTCTGGGTGCTCTCAGTACAGGGGCAGTTTCAGGCTGATCCCACGTGGCACAGACAATGCTGCCAGCACCGCCTACCTTTTCCATGCCAGACTCTTTCACGGCCTTGTCCACGATGTTGCGGACCTCATCCTCGTAATTGTGGAGGTTCAGCTGCAGTAAATCTGCCAGGGTTGTCTCTTCTGACATTTTAAATTTCACCTAAGGGAAAAAAAACCAGGCATGATTCATGTCAGGTCATTTGGACTCTGAAGTGGGCGGACGTCACCATCCTTCACGGAGAGCCGCTGCCAGGGCGCGATCCCGGGCTGCTGGAGGGAGGGAGGCGAGCCCTACACTGCCATTTTCAGCTCTGGGACTTAAGGAGGTGACTTCTCCAAGCCTCACCTTCCTTCCCTGTAAAACCGTATAATAGCAGAACCCATCCGCACTGGGCGGAATTGTGGCCCCCCCAAAATTCACGTCTACCCAGAACCTTCGCATGTCATCTTATTTGGAAATAGGGTCTTTGCAGATACTAAGGATCTTGAGGATGAGTTCATCCTGGATTTTCCAGTGAGACATAAATCCAGGGCCAAGTGTCCTCATGACAGGAAGGAGAGGGAGATCTGAGTCACACAGGAAACAGGGCCTTGTGGAGACTGAGGCAGAGACGGACATGATGCAGCCACAGGCCAAGGAATGCCTGGAGTTCCCAGAAGCCGGAGGAGGCAGGAAGGACCCTCCCCCGGAGCCTTTAGAGGGAGTGCAGCCTGCTGACACCCTGATTTCAGAGTCCTGGCCTCCAGCACTGTGACAGAACACATAACACAGGTCTGCTTTTCTTTTTTTTTTTTTTTTTTTTGAGTCGGAGTCTTGCTCTGCCACCCGGGCTGGAGTGCAGTGGCGTGATCTCGGCTCACTGGAAACTTCACCTCCCTGGTTCAAGCGATTCTTTTGCCTCAGCCTCCCAAGTAGCTGGGACTAGAGGTATGTACCACCACACCCAGCTAATTTTTGTATTTTTAGTAGAGACGCAGTTTCACCAAGTTGGACAGGCTGGTCTCAAACTCCTGAACTCAAGTGATCCACCTGCCTCAGCCTCCCAAAGTGCTGGGATTACAGGCGTGAGCCACCGCGCCCCCGGCTAGGTCTGTTTGAAGCCTCCCAGTTTGTGGTCCTTTGTCATGGCAGCCCCAGGAAGCGAATCCACCACCTCTGGCAGCTGCCGCGTTCCTAATAGGCAAAGCACTCTGTGGCAGTGGCCGAATCACAGGTACTGTTACTCTAGTACCAACATACCAGGTGCTTGTCAAGTGCTACCACTTCCCAAATCGCTTCCACGTCCCTTGTCTAATATTCTTCTTGGTGTCACATAGTCAGATGTTTCTGAGCATCGATTCTGAGCCCACCGTGGAATTTTAACCAATGATGGAACCTCGCATCTCTAATCACATTTGGGGACCTATCCGCCTGAGGCTCACCAAGACCTCAGCTGTGCCCAGCTCCTTTCATGGAGATATTTAGCTGGTTTATCATCGCCCAAGCATCTCTCCCAGGGCACTTGGATGGGGCACATGAGCCTGTTGCCAGGCATCTGGGAAATCTTTTGTCTCAACACACGAGAGGCACCCCCAGGGACTGGCTCCCGGACACAGAAATCCCTAGGGAGCAAGCGGGTGCCCCTGTGCCCTCAGGGTGGCCTGCACAACTGGGTTTGCTTTTCCCTCCTTAGGCCTAGGGAGCAGCAGAAGGGCCCTGGACAGTGTGATGGGGGTGGAGCGGGAGCGTCTAATGCTCCTCCTAGATGGGCGTGGGCTGGCCGGGACCTAATGAGAGATGGAGGGAACAATTTGGCCCCATTCTCCTACTTCCTGCATAGGTAGGGATCTCTTGGGAAGCCGTGGGTTAAGCCTTCCCGCTGCACAGGCTTTGGGCCACGCTGCCCTTGGTCCTTGGGGTACGTTCTCGCTGTTGTTCTTGCATTCTTTCATGCCAAGCCCCGTCCCAGCCTTTCTGCTTGTCTTCACAGTTCTCACTCCCAAGGCCCAAGCCAAACTTCACACTCACTCAGAGCTTTTCCTTCCCTTCCCCCTCCTTGAAGGTGGCACCCTCCTCTAGGTCTCGGGATCATCACTGAATATCTCCTGCGCTTGGCATTCAAACCTGATCACGAAGGTTGGCAGAATTTGCCACCAAAATATGCCACTTTGGCTTAAGGGTTATTTTGAGCTGAAGGCAGTTGAGAAGAAGCAGATACAAGAGAAGCTCTCTGCCCTCCCCCTATTTGCCTACAAGCAGGAAATAAATTTGCCAAGGAGTCCCACCACCCCTCTACCAAGAATGATAGAAGTTACTCAATGGAGGCCGGGTGCGGAGGCTCACACCCGTAATCCCAGCACTTTGGGAGGCCGGGGCGGGTGGATCACCTGAGGTCAGGAGTTTGAGACCAGCTTGGCCAAGGTGAAACCCTGTCTCTACTAAAAATACAAAAAAATCAGCCAGGTGTGGTGGTATGTGCCTATAATCCCAGCTACTCAGGAGGCTGTATCAGGAGAATCACTTGAACCTGGGAGGTGGAGGTTGCAGTGAGCTGAGATTGTGCCACTGCACTCCAGCCTGGGCAACAGAGTGAGACTCTATCTCAAAAAAAAAAAAAAAAAAAAAAAAAGTTAACTGGTGGAGACAGCTTTAGCCCGTTATCAGCCCAGAGGAACGGGAGGAATCTACACAACGCAGCTTGCTGAAGCTCACCTCATCCTGCTGTAAAACAAAAATAAAATCCTAAGGCCCCCGAACAAATTGAATGAACCCCTGTCTCTGCTGGGGGCGTTCCAAAGTAAACCTGAAAAAGGAGTTCAGGCCATGATGGGAAGCGGGTTGGAAGACAGGCCTCATTATACCCCCGCTCCCTTTGGGATTCAGGCATAGCTGACCAGCATGAACATCCACACATCGATCCTAAGACTGACCAAACAGAATGTTTGTCGCAACATGATACATCACACGACAGATAGCAGGCCCTGAAATAAATCGCAGTATTTTACCCTAAAATATGTTCCTTTGACATAGTTTGAAATGGTCCTGCAAAGCTGTCTCTTTTGCAGGGGAAATCTACATTCTGTAGAGAATCCCCTTCGTCTTTCCTGGTCTTTTCCCATTTTGTTTTTTTTGAGATGGAATTTTGCTCTGTCACCCAGGCTAGAGTGCAGTGGCATGATCTCGGCTCACTGCAACCTCCACCTCCCAGGTTCAAGCGATTCTCCTGCCTCAGCCATTCAAGTAGCTGGGATTACAGGTGTGTGCTACCACGCTCGGTTGATTTTTGTATTTTTAGTAGGGATGGGGTTTTGCCATGTTGGCCAGGCTGGCCTCAAACTCCTGGCCTCAGGTGAGCCACCCGCCTCAGCCTCCCAAAATGCTGGGATTACAGGTGTGAGCCACCGTGCCTGGCTTTCCTCTAATTAATCTGTCTCTCATCAGTCTAATTTACAGGGGCCTCAGCCAGGGAACCTAAGATGGATAGAGGAAAAATAAATTCCCCCTCCCCGCAATTGCCAGTGCTATTATTTCTTTGCTTCCTTGAGAGCAGAGGCCACGTCTCCTTTCTCTCTGTGTCCTTTGCAGCTAGGTGGGGCCTCTGCAGAGTAGCTGCTTAAAGTGGTTTTGTTCAGTGTTTGCTGAGAGTGGGGAGTGTTCCTGTTAGCCTTCTGGAGGGGTCAAGGCCAGTGCCTGCCACTGCAGGATATTCCTGGAAAGATTCAGGTGCTAAGACTCTGAGTTTCTGGGGTCATGAGGACCCCAGTGAAGCTGTTCATTTGCCCCAAACTCCCTGAGTCTTATGAACATGCAACCTACAACCAGAACAGCCTACTTACTTTGCAGGGCCCAGTGCAAAATGAAAATGCAGGAGCTCCTGTTGGAAAATTACTAAGAATTGGCCAGGTGCAGTGGCTCACACCTGTAATCCCAGCACTCTGGGAGGCCGAGGCAGGCGAATCACGAGGTCAGGAGTTCCAGATCAGCCTGGCCAATATGGTGAAACCCCGTCTCTACTAAAAATACAAAAAAAAATTAGCCAGGTGTGGTGGTGGGTGCCTGTAGTCCCAGCTACTCCGGAAGCTGAGGCAGAAGAATCGTGTGAACCCGGGAGGCGGAGGTTGCAGTGAGCTGAGATCGCGCCACTGCACTCCAGCCTGGCGACAGAGCGAGACTGTCTCAAAAAAAAAAAGGAAATTACTAAGAATTTTGAGATGGTGAAGTTGAGATGGTAAACGGAGCCTGCCCCACCACCCCCAACCAACATGGAGCCCTGTGTGACTGCACAGGTCACTTGTGCACGAAGCCAGCCCTGCCCACACTGGCTTTACCACCACTGGGCCCCTAACACCTTGGCTAGGCAGCTCAGGACAGCCCATCCTGCAGCAGGGCTGGCCACCAGGGGCGGTCCCCTCTGCCCACCATAGCGCGTGGTACCTGGGTGGCCTGCATGAGCTGCTGCCAGTGGCGTTCCCGAATGGCAGGGTTCTGCAGCTCGCTCACGGCACGCAGGGATGTGATCATGTTCTTCACGGTGTTGTCGAGTCCCACGAAGGCATCCCAGGTTTTCATCTCCTTGTCCAAAGACCTCACATCTTTGGCAAACTTCTTACAATCTATGTCCATCTGCTCAACGTTGATATCTTTCCACTTGGTGGTCTTCCAGTCCTCGATGCTGGTATTTACCTGAAACAAAAACACCCCGTTTCTGCTTTCACTCTTGTCAAGGATGACTCAGGAAGACAACCCTCTTACCTCTCTGCACCTACTCGCAGGGAGCAAAGCCCAATGAGGAATATTTAGAACGAATACCAGAGATCATTAAAGTGATTGGATACGAGAAAAAACAACCGTGGCAATAAAAAGTAAGATTTAAAAGTTAACAGTTGGCTGGGCATGGTGGCTCATGTCTATAATCCCAGCACTTTGGGAGGCCGAGGTGAGCAGATCACCTGAGGTCAGGAGTTCAAGACCAGCCTGACCAACATGGTGAAATCCTGTCTGTACTAAAAATACAAAAATTAGCCAGGTGTGGTGGTGCACACCTGTAATCCCAGATACTTGGGAGGTTGAGACAGGAGAATCACTCGATCCTGGGAGACGAGGGTTGCAGTGAGCTGAGATCGTGCCACTGCACTTCAGCCTGGGTGACAGAGTGAGACTCTGTCTCAAAAATAAATAAATAAAAATAAAAGCAGTTAAAAGGCATTTTAGCAAAAGCCTGTGTCAGGGCCCTGCTGTTGCTGGCTGGGACCCAGTTTTCTTTCACTTCTCAGTATGTCCATGTAGCTTGTCTTGGTCCATGAAAGGTGAGTGATGCCTGACAATACCCAGCTTGGTGTTCCCCTTGCCTGCCTTGGCAATCACGAAGGAGCATCACTGATCCACAGTCTGCACTGTGCAACCAGTCCTTGACAGGTAACTTCCCAGGGAACAACTGCTTGGAACTACAGTATGCACTTTGCATGAATGAGAAATATACTTTTGTTCAGTACACAGAGATTTGTGGGGCTGTTACTGCACAGTAACCCAGCTTCCACTGATAAGAATATAACAGGGCCGGGCGCGGTGGCTCACGCCTGTAATCCCAGCACTTTGGCAGACCGAGGCGGGGGGATCACAAGGTCAGGAGATCAAGACCATCCTGGCTAACACAGTGAAACCCCGTCTCTGCTAAAAATAAGGCGTGGTGGCAGGTGCCTGTAATCCCAGCTACTCGGGAGGCTGAGGCAGGAGAATGGCATGAACCCGGGAGGCGGAACTTGCGGTAAGCCAAGATCGCGCCACTGCACTCCAGCCTGGGCGACAGAGCGAGACTCCGCCTCAAAAAAAAAAAAGAATATAACAGAAGACACTTCATTCACAACAGACACTTCATTCACAACAATATGAAACAAAACATACAAACTACCCAGGAATAACCCAACCAACAGTATAAACATGAAAATGGCTGTGAAGCTGGAAACTGCTAGTCATTGAGGGAATCAGAGATTGTTGACATGGGCACTTACAGTGGGGAAGATCTGGGCTTGAGAAACATCTGTGCTCGAGAAAGTAAAAACTGAGAGTGTTTACAAGACATTTGCTTTGAAGCTACGACGATCTGAAACCTTAATCTACATAGGAGTCGATGGCTTTTTCTGGCAGGTTCAAGATTAGCCTGCATCCTATTATCATAAAATGTCTTGGCTAGTGTGTTTTGGAGAGTTTTTCTTGAATTATCCTGACTTCAAATGCTGTCATCTCCTGGGAAACGTGGATTTTATTCTCCCATCTACGCAAACAATTTTTTGTCGTGGGAAAGTGTATATCCCATTCTCTCAGATGCCACTATGTTCTGTAATGCCACTCACATAAAAGAAACTTGAGGCCGGGTGCGGTGGCTCACTCCTGCAATCCTAGCACTTTGGGAGGCTGAGGCAGGAGAATCACCTGAGGTCAGGAGTTTGAGACTAGCCTGACCAACATGGTGAAATCCCATCTCTACTAAAAAAAATACAAAAATTAGCCGGGTGTGATGGCAGGCGCCTGTAATCCCAGCTACTGGGGAGGCTGAGGCAGGAGAATCACTTGAACTCGGGAGGCAGAGGTTGCGGCGAGTGGACATCACGTCACTGCACTCCATCCTGGGCCACAGAGAGACTTTGCCTCAAAAAAAAAAAAAAAAAAAAGAGACTCAAATTCAGTTAATTGTTGAAAAAGTATCAAGAGGCCTTCAATTTGTACCTTCTCTTAAGGCCTGGCTGTAAAAAAGCCTGTGACTCCAAATATGTTTTTCCCCCTATGTAAGAAATATTTTGACTCAGTATGGTCAGCATGAAGACATTTACTATAATGTAATTTAAAAATTAAATAAAAGAGACAGAGCATACTCTTGTATGAGAAAATGGAATACTGCCAAGAGATTAATTTCCCTCAAATGAGTTAATTCAATTCCATTTAAAGTCATAATAGCTTCCTTTTGGAGGGGAGGAAGATTTGACAAATGATTCTTTTGTTTTTGAGACAGAGTCTCACTCACTCTGTCTCCCAGGCTGGAGTACAGTGATGTGATCTCAGCTCACTGCAGCCTCCACCTCCTGGGTTCAAGTGATCCTCCTGCCTCAACCTCTCCAGTAGCTGGGACTACAAGCACATGTCACCAAACCCAGCTAATTGTTATATTTTTAGTAGAGGTGGGGTTTCACCATGTTGGCCAGGCTGGTCTCAAACTCCCGGCCTCAAGTGATCCGCCCACCATGGCCTCCCAAAGTGCTGGGATTACAGGTGTGAGCCACCACACCAAGCTGGATTTGACAAAAGTTCATTCAAAAAAGTAAAAGAGGAAAGAGTTCAACTGTTTTTGAAAACAGATGAGCAAAGAGACAGAATGGCAGAAACCAGCATCTGCACACACACAAAAGAAGAAATACTTGGGAAAAAGAGGCTCCGTGCTTGGAGTCCAGTCTCCCTTCACACACGGAGACCTGGCCTGTCCTTATCTTTCTGCTGCCTAGGAGGCCACAGAGCAGCCCACAGAGACATGATCCAGACTGCTCTTGTTTGGCAAATTCCCAGGCTCCCGAATTGCCTCTTCTTCTCCCTGAATATCACCCCTCCACAATCTACCCAAATCCCAATTTCCTCAGGGCTGTCTTAGCATCTGACCCAAACAAAAAGCCTGCTTGCATTCTTTAAAAAGTTGTTAGTTCTTTCAGTTCTGCCAAGACGGAGCAGCCTTGTTACTTCCGGCTTCTCCCTCTTACAACTGAAAAACCCTGGACATATCACAACAAACAAGACCATGGAAGATTGCTCGTATATTGAGGAAATACTTAAGACAGTTATGTTACAGTTAAGAGGGGCAGAGGTGAGGGCAAAGAGATCTAAATGGAAGTAAGATTTCTACACTCAAAAGTGACAAAATGCTGATATCAGTGACTGTCAAACAACCACTAAGAAAACTATATAAAGTGCTATGTTCAGAATCACTCTAAATAAATCAGGATGGATCCTAAAAAAGTTAAAAGAGTCAAAGGACCAAGAAACAAGGGGAACAAACAGAAAACAAAATGGCAGACATAGGCTCCTAACATGACAATAATGATCTTAAATGCAAAATGGTCTAAATACATCAATTAAAAGCCAGAGACTGGCAGAGTGGATGAAAACACATGACCCAACCATATGCTATATATAAGAAACTTACTTCAAATACAAAAATATAGGTAGCTTGAAAATTGAAAAATGGAAAAAGATCTATCAGGATGAACACTAGTCAAAAACAATAGAAAAAAAAATAGAAGTAGCGATACTAGTATCAGATAAAGCCAACTTTAGAGCAAAGAACATTCCTAGAGACGAAAAGAACATTATATAATGGGAAAAAGGGTCAACCTGTAGGAAGACAATAATCCCAAATCTGTACACACCAAGCAACAGAGCCTCGAAATACACAAAGCAAAAACTGATCGAGCTGAAAAGAGAAACAAACACATCCATAATTACAGTTGGAGAGATTTCAACACCCCACTCTCAGCAGTTTATGGAATTGCTAGACAGAAAGTTAGCAAGACTATAAAAGGACAGAACAATACAACCAACCAACAGGATCTGATTGACACGTATAAAACACTCCGCCCAACAAAAGCCAAACACACATTCTGTTCAAATGCCCGTAGGACATTCACCCAGACAAACTATACCCTGATCCATAAAATAAAGCTTAATACATTTAAATAATGAAAGTTATATACAGTGTATTCTTTGACCATAATGGAATCAAACTAGAAATCAATAATAGAAAGGCAACAGGAAAATCTCTAAACACTTAGAAATTTAAAATCCACTTCTAAATCATCCATAGGTCAAAGAGGAAGCCTCAAAAGAAATAAAAAAAAAAAAAAAAACACAGAGAACTGAATGTAGTATCAAAGTATGTGAGACACAGCTAATGTAGAGAGGGAAATTTGATAGCACTAAGTGTTTCCTTTAGAAAAGAGAAAAGGTCTCAAATCAATAATCTAAGTTTCCACCTCAATAAACTAGAAAATGAGCAAAATAAACCCAAAGCAAAGGAAGGAACAAAATAATAAAGATCAGAAACCAATGAAATTTAAAATAAAGCAACACAAAAATTAAACAAAAATCTGGTTCTTTGAAAAATCAATAAAGTTTATAAACCTCTAGTAAGACCGACAAAGATGAAAAGAGTGAAGACACAAATCACCAATACTAGGAATGAAATAGAAGATACCACTGCCAAGCTTGCAACCATTTAGAGGATAATATGGAACTAGTATAAACAACTTCATGCTTGAATTAAACAATTTAGAAGAAATAAACCAATTCCTCAGAAACCACAAGCTACCTTTCTCTACCAAGATTTTCACAAATTTGAAACAGACCAACATGAGCAAGCCTATATGGCCATTAAAGAAATTGAATTTGTGACTAAAAATCTCATGGAAATGAAGGGGCGCAGTGGCTCACGCCTGTAACCCCAACACTTTGGGAGGCTGAGGCAGGTGGATCACCTGAGGTCAGGAGTTCAAGACCAGCCTGAAGAACATGGTGAAACCCTGTCTCTACTAAAAATACAAAAAAATAGCTGGGTGTGGTGGTGGGCGCCTGTAATCCCAGCTACTCAGGCGGCTGAGGTGGGAGAATCACTTGAACCTGGGAAGCAGAGGTTGCAGTGAGCCAAG